TAGATAGATAGATAGATAGATAGATAGATAGATAGATAGATAGATAGCTGTATCTTAAAAAAAAAAAAATCCAAAACTCCCAGGATGCAGGGAAGCCTGGTCAGCCAGTCTCTTCCAGACAGATTCTGTCCCAATCCTGGAAGGGATTTTTCTGGAAGCTTCCACTCTGGGCATGGAGACCGAGGGCCAGACTGCAAGGCCTGAGGAAGGACAGGCCCGCATCACTGTGGATGTCCTCTACTCTGCTGACCTGTGTACAAAGACAGGGATGTGTTGGTAAATTCCAGGAATGTTATGCGGGTTGTCTCCACCCAGACTCCCTTCAGCCAGTTCCTCACCTGATGAATGACTCAGCAAAGAAAGCTGGCTGGTCATGGAGGACAGATCTCCAGGATGTGTGCCCTGAAGCCAGTGATGCTCATCAAAGACCCAACTAGAGCCACACCTTGCCAAAAGGTCACCACAACCTTGTCCTGCCTCTGCCCGGTTCACTGTGGGAGCAGTGCTGTTCTAGCTGCTGCTCCTTGATCCCTCTCGATTTCCACCTTTGCTGCCAAGAAAGGTTATGTAAGAATGTTATGTAACCCCCCTTATTTGCAGCAGCCATTGGAAAGCCCTGTGTCTTACCACACATACAGTAGTGCAACGCCCCGAGATTGTCCACTGAACTGACTTGTATGGAGAATCAGCCTCTGCCTGTCATTCTACCACCGTGAAGAAGAGGGAGGGCACTCCTGGTTTAGTCTTCCCACTCCCCCATCTAAACACTGCAGACAAATTCTGGCTTTACCCTGTGCAGAAAGACGTGAGCAGCGGGCACAGGTGGGACATCTCTTCCACGGGGACATTTTTACACAGAAGGGTGCCTCTCTGAGTGGCTGGGGTCTGAGAAGACTCAGCATGGCAGTTGCATCAGCACAATGGCTAAGGAAGAGATGGGTAAGACAGTAAAGAGCACCAGGGCCAGCTGCAGGTTGGGCAGTGAGAAGCCCAGCAATGGCAGCTCTTGTTCTTGAGCCAGTATGTGTGTACTCCAGCTTGTGACAAGCAAGCTCAGGAGGAGGGTCAGAATCCCTGGGTTCAGCAGAACAGGGGAGCGGGAACCAGAGTGGGCCTCAAGGAGGGCTGAGAGTACTGGAGAGAGCTGCTGCATCTGGGAGTGGATCCAGACATGAGGTGCTGGCCCTCCACCATGAGAGTTATGACCCCTGAACCATCTGAGATCCTGATTTCCTTCCAGGCTCATTCTGTGAGGGTCACAAAGTTGACTGGACCTGAATGTTGCGCTTCACAGATGAGCTACTTGATTCTGTGGTTTATGATTATCAAACATCCAGCTTCCAACCAATGAGGTTTCTACCAAGTCTGCTACTTTAATAAAGGGTTGATCACAGATTAGCTTGACTATCAGTCACAAGCATGGCACTAAGGCTGAACTAGACCCTTAGCTCTGAGCAACCAGGTAAGCAGTCTTGGGGACAAGGTTAGAGGGTCTCTACATTTGTCTGGAGTAACAGGGCCTTCTTGGTTGGCTTTTCTCAAAAGTCTAAATGTTGAGAGTTAAGGGACAGTGGCTTTGTTGAAACTTGTTCTTGGAAATTTTGCATTTGCAATGTATAGATGAGAGAGAAAGAGAGATATCAAAGGGGTTGGGACATGAAGACTGGCTGCCACTGGGTGATAGCTCCATGCTCCAAGAAATTTAGTAACGGGCCAGGAAGATAGGAGAGAAGGGGGCCACCATGCTTCTGGGAGACCCTAGGAGGCAAGTGTTTCTTTGTCCTGTTCTACAGATGAAGAAACAGGTCCAGAGAGATCAAGTGCATAGCCAGTGTCACATTTAGATAGGGAGAGAAATTAGCATCCCAACTAGTGTGTCGGGCCTTTTGCTTTCTTCCTGTAAGGGCTCACACACACACACACACACACACACACACACACACTCCCACACTCAGATACTTGAGCAGGCTACTGGCAAACTGGGAACTTGGCTGGGGGAACTGCATGGTTTCTTCTTTCTTCTGCAGGATCACAGGGAAACATACAGTCAGAGCTGTGTCTTTGGCCTTTGAGATCTGACATCCAGAAGTCTCCCATGGCTCTTTATCACATCCGCAAATACCAGGACAACGACCACGAGAGCGTGGTGGACTTGTTCTCCAGAGGCATGGAGGAGCACATCCCCGCCACCTTCTGCCACATGCTGATGCTGCCCCGAACCCTTCTGCTCTTACTTGGGGTCCCTCTTACTCTATTCTTGGCCTCAGGCTCCTGGTTTCTGGTTCTTCTGTCCAGCCTTTCCCTCTTTGTTTCCCTGTGGCTCCTTGCAAAATACACGTGGGAAAAGTATATGGTCACATGTTTGCACACAGACATGGCTGACATCACTACGACCTACCTGAGTTCTCATGACTCCTGCTTCTGGGTGGCCGAGTCTGGAGGTCAGATAGTGGGCATGGTGGCTGCCCGGCCAGTGGAAGATCCTCTCCTGCCAAAGAAGCAGCTGCGGCTATATCACCTCTCTGTGTCCTCGGAGCACCGCAGACAGGGGATAGGGAAAGCTATGGTCAGGACTGTCCTCCAATTTGCGGAAGCACAGGGCTTCAGTGAAGTGGTCCTTACCACCAGCATGCTGCAGTACGCAGCCCTGGCTCTCTATCAGGGCATGGCCTTCCAGAAGACTGGTGAGTCCTTCTTCACTAATGTCTCAAGACTAAGAAAATCTCCAATGATACACTTCAAGTATAGCCTCACCTCTGCTCTGGAAGGGGGCCTGTGAGCCCTCTCTTGTGTACAGCAGGCATGATCTGATTGCTTCTGTAGTGGTGACAAGCAAACCCAGCCACTTCAGGGGCAAAACACTAACCGTTAGGATTTTGGAACAAAATCTGCTTTTGGGTTGCCTAACAACTTATGTCATCATGTGTCTCCTGCCAGGTGGCCACACCTGGAAAGCGTGGTTACCTTGTTCCTTAAAGAGACCAGCTGGCCATGTGGTCTCACTCTTGGTCCTCTCTTCTCTTGCTCTCTTGGTTCCTTTTTCTATCGGGGCACCCCCCTCTTTCTCCCCATTATGTCCTGCTCGCCCTTCCCACCTAATGAACCTCTTTCATATATAAGATCTGTCATACACCTAATCGTCTTTATTTACTTAGCTTGTCCCATAACCTTACACTAACCCTCACTCTCAAGAACACCTCAGTAAATCTGTGTGTGTGTGTGTGGTGGGAGGGTGTCAGTGGCTGCTCTCTGTTATCCATCTGGGGTGTCCTTTACCTAACACCAATGTAATGTATAAAAGCAACACAAAGTAAAAAAAAATTTCATTTAGCTTATGACTCTTTTGATCATCTACTGAGCTTGGGAAGGACAGCTCTCAGGGTCTTTGGGTTGGCCAAAGCATTATTACCTTGTTCTAGCAGGCTAGGTTAGGCGGGGTTCGAGGCTTTTACAGAGATAACCAAAGCAAAAGCATGAAGAAGTGAAGGCCTCTTCTGAACCCTGGGGGCGTGATTGCAGTTGCAGAAGTGAGGAGCGGGATTTGGCTCTGTGAGCAGCTAGTAAGGCAACACACACCGCCTCTGCACATGCTGGGGACAGAACACAGGGTATTTCAAAAATTGCTCCCATCCTTTGGTAGCTGACTGGACTGGATCATGTCCTGAGGGAGGCTGGACATAGCCAAGAAGAGCTGCAGGATCAGTAGGGCCCCCACTTATCACCCCTTCAGTCTCTCCACGTTGCCCCACGACTCCTGGTTTCCCTAAGTGCTCCTGCAAGTCTTGATGTCTTGGGGTTTTGACAACATCTGGATAGCAGTGCAAACGTTATCAAATGCCACCGACTTGTTTTAAAATGGTTGACTCCAGGTGTGTGCATGCCTTGAGAGGCAGGAGGTAGCTCAAAGCCAGCCTCGTCTACATAGCAAATTCCAGGCCAGCCAGAGTCACATAATGAAACCCTATCTTAATAATAATAATTTTAAAAACAAAATGGTTAACTTTAAACTTTGTAAAGGTCTTCCCCCAATAATTTGAAAATAATTTGAAAACCCTATAGCTGTGGATAAAATTCTAAAGTTCAGAAGTAGTAATGCTGTCAAGGAAGACATGTGCATGCATGTAACACACGTGTGCTGTGTGTGTGTGCTTGTGCAAAGAGGCCAGAACTCAACCTCAAATGTTTTTTTGAGACAGTGTTTCTCACTGGCTGAAGCTTGCTGATTTTAGCTGGTCTGGCTGGCCAGCAAGCCCTGAGGCCCATTCATCTTCATTCCCCATTGCTAGGGTTACAGATATAAGCCCCTACACACCCAGCTTTTTATATGGGTTCTGGGGAGCCAGTGGCTTGGGGGGGGGCAAACTCAGATCACTTTACAGGCTTGGTTGGCCAGCCCTTTCCTGGAAGTTCTATGGGGGTAGAGGAGCTGCTGTGTCACCTGCTGTTACATGGCCACAGGATCGAGGAATGTAGCACTCTAAACCTCAACCCCCTGGTGCCAGAGGCTCTGAGGGTCTTCTCGGCCAGTTTGACACCGTGTTCTGCAATGGAGTAGCACTAATGATGCTTGACACTTATCCTAGGAAGCCAAAAGTGTGAAGGTATGGGTGCAGGGGTGCTTCTATTAGAATTGGGGTGGGAAGAAAGTCAAGTAAACTCATGAATTGTGGGGATTCCATGGAGCGGCAAAACATGGGCTCATGGTTTGTACAAGGATTAGTGCATGCATAAGATAGGGGACTGGTGTTCTTCCAAAAATTAGGAAGGAATAAGGGTGTGGACAAAGATAATTGTGGAGGTTAGTGACTTGGATCCAGCAGTGAGAAAACCTGGATTGCTGATTCCAGACTTCCTGTTTTTTCAGCCAATAAATACTTGCTTCAATTTGAAGGACACAGTTTTATTCTGAGAATGGTAAATATTAACATTTCTGAGCATTTGTCACTGTTTCCTAGCTGTAGATGTAATGTAACCAGCTGCTTCATGCTCCTGCCTCATGTTTTCCCTTGATCATGAACTGTGCTGTCAAACTGTGAGCCAAATGAAACCTCTCTAAGTAAAAACATTTCCTATTATTTAATATGTTATTGGTTAAAGCATACTCAATTTTTTTTTTTTAAATTTTGTTTGCTTTCTGGACACATGTATTCACCTGGGCACATACACATGCACACTTGAAGATAAGGGCATACACAATTGAAGCCCGTCAGCCAGGCTTCCTTCAGACTTAATGTACCTGCCTGATTTCCTCTCCTCTCATTTTTAAAAATTGTGGTAAATATACATAACACACAATTTGTTTTGTTTTTTTTTTACACTTAGGGATGGGTTTTGAGACAAGGTTTCTCTGTGTAGTCCTGGCTGTTCTGGAACTCATTCTGTAGACCAGGCCGGCTTTGAATTCACAGAGCTCTGCCTGCCTCTGCTGGGATTAAAGACATGCATTACTCTGCCTGTATCTATCTATCTATCTATCTATCTATCTATCTATCTATCTATCTGTCTATCTTCTCTGTGTATGAGAGAGTATGTGTATAAATGCATGCTTGTGTTGAAATCAGAACAACTTATGGGAGTCAGTTATCTCCTTCCACAACTGTGGGTCAGGGGAACAAAGTCATGTTGTCAGACTTGGTGGTACAGCCTTTACCTGCTAAGACATTTTTGTGGGTGTGGTAAACTTTATTGATGTATTCAATAAAGAGAGTAGTAATCCCTAGGACTCCCCTGTTAATCTGGGGGTCTGAGATGGAAACTGTGAAGGAGATGCTCAGTGTCAGGAGCTGAGTTGGGACAGGGACTCCTCAGCAGCCAAGGGCCTCTCTTTTGTTTTTGTGCCTTTGCTGTGGGAGGTAGTCCGGGGCTTCTTACTCCTTGGAGGCCAGTAGGCCATGAGGGACATCACCATGGTGCTGTAGTTGTATTCATTGTCATGCCAAGAAATGAGCTTTATGAAATTGTCATTGAGAGAAATGCCAGCCCCAGCATCAGAGGTGGAAGAGGGGGAGTCACTGTTGAAGCCACAGGAGACAACCTCATCCTCAGCCTGACTGCTACAGCTGGTGAGAGGCAGGGCTAACTCTCCAGCTCTAATGAGTTCAGGGCCAGATCATCTACCTGACAACCTCAGGTGGCAAGGGATGAATGGGGAAGGCATTTCTCCCTTGCCTACACCACTGCTAAGGCATTTTTAAGTGTGCAGTTTGGGGGTGCTAATCGCACTCATAGTGTTGAGCAATCATCCCTACTGTCTACTCTTCATCTGTGGACACTGGACAATAACTCCATCACCTCCCCCTGAGCCCTTTTTCATGTCTACTTTCTGCTACCTTTGTGAATGTGCTTTGTCTGTATTCCATCTGAGTGGAATCACAGAGTGCTTGCCCTTTTGTGTCTGGATTCTTTGAATTCACTTTAGTAATGTTTTTGAGGTTCCTATATGTTATACAATGTATCAGAATTTCTTTGTGTGTGTATGTGTGTGTGTGTGTGTGTGTGTGTGTGTTTGTTATTGGAAATTAAATCTAGGGCTGGGTACATGCTAGGCGTATACATGTAGCCCTGGATGTCCTAGAGCTGGCTGTGTAGACCAGGCTGGCCCTGAGCTCTGCTTCTGCCTTCCAAACACTGGAATGATAGTTGTGCACCACCATGCCTGGCTCTTTACCTTGTTTTTTGGCTTGAAGAACAGATTTTGAATTTTTAACACCCACCTAAAGGCTGAGTGGCTATGGTGAACCAACTGTATTTCAGTTTGGAAGAGGTAGAGACAAGGGATCCTAAGAGCAAGCTAGATAGGTAAACAGCCCAGTCAGGCCTTATTTCTTCTATTGTTGTGACAAAACACCATGACCAAGGCTGCTTCTAGAAGAGCTTATTGGAGGGCTTACTTACAGTTCACTAGGGTGAGAGCCCATGACTATCATGACAGGGGACATAGAAGCAGACAGGCAGGCATGGCACTAGAGCAGTAGTTGAGAGCTTACATACTGACCCAAAATGTAGGAGGTAGAGAAAGAAAGACAGGAAACTGGGAATGACATGGGCTTTTGGAATCTTAAAGCCCACCAGCCAGTGACACACCTCCAATAAGGTCACACCTCCTAATCCTTCCCAAGCAGTTCCACCAACTAAGGACCAAGCATTCAAATATATAAGCCTGTGGGGCCATTTTCATTCAAACCACTACAAATAGCCATTGTTAACGTCTGGCTTCCGTATGTGCATGTGCACATACACACACACACACACACACAAATACACAAACCTGTGTGCATATAAAATGTACACAAATATACACGCAGAAAGGGCTAACTACTAATGCCTGGCCTGTGAATATATGAGCCATATTCTATTTATCCATTTATCTGTTAGCATACTCCACCATTGTTTCTACTGTTTGACAAGAATTCACTTGTTTTGGAAACAGGAAAACAATTGCTAAGTCTATGAAAAAGAAAACCACACTTAAAATAGAGACAGTGAATTTTAAACTAAAGCCATTAGAGTTGGGAGGGGGTGCATCTGGAAGCTACTTTTTGCATGCAGTTGGTTAACCATTTTTATTAATAATTTATTTATTTTACTTTATGTGTAAGGGTGTTTTGCCTGCCTGTATATAAGCGCAGCAATGAGTGCTGTGAATGAAAACTGAAAAGAAGCTGTGTCTGCAGGCTGGTTGACAGATTACAACTTCAGTAGATATTGAAGGTTTAAAGCTAGTTTCCTTACCTTGGGGCTAGTCTTGGTCCTCAGAACAGCCATCCCTTGCCCCCTTATTTGGAACTAATATCTTGTGACTAATAGATTAAAAAACAACAAAAGCAACCTTTTAGAATATGTTAAGTTGCCAGACCACTAGCTTCCTCCAACTCAAAGGCTAGGAATGTTTTCAGAATGTCTCAGGCCTGCCCTTGAGCTTCCCACGTCCCACCGTGCCTGCTCCTCTGATATACCCACCTGTGTATTTTAAACTTTCGTTCTTTGTTCTGGAAAAGTACAGTTTCATGAAACTGCTTTCCCTTTGGAAAATAGAATTTGGGATAATTTAAATTGGTGTTTCCAAGGCCATGATCATCCCAAATAGCTCCAGAATAAACTACCTCTTATTCCTTTAAGATGAGAGCTGTGGTTTTTATGTCAAATGAAGGTCAGATCTCCTAGAACTGTTGTGAGCCATCACATGAGGTTCTGGGAATTGAACCCAGATCCTCTGGAAGAGGAACAAGTGTTTTTCATTGCCAAGTTCTCTGTCCAACCCTGGTTAATCTTTTGAACAAAATCAATGTGAAGGCATTCAGTGGAGAGGACTCAGTTTAAAACTTGCCAGT